TACACTAGCTTAGAAGTCTCATATTTAGGCTGACTCCTTCAGTGCTCATGGATATTTGTAGAGGTGAATGCTAACTCAGATGTATACCATATAAGTGACATTTGTGAAGCTGCTGTAAACTTAGGATGCTGGTCTTTTCTATATCCCATAGCAAAACCCATCTGGCAATGGCTGGGATGGTCGGACTGCCCGTGGCTCTTCTGATTCTGGGAGTCGTTTTTCTCTATTGGCGTGGACGTAGGATTCAGAATAAAAGAGCGATGAGGCGCTACTTGGAACGGGGTGAGGTAAGTATTAGCTTGACTTTGGGAGACACCCTTACAATCTGCTCCTGGGGTAAGTGGTAGGACATGGATGCTACTCCTCTTCTCTTTCCCTAGAATATAGTCCCTTTCTTTAAGAGGACAGTGTAGAGTGATGGATGCTTGCTCAACATATGCGAAGACCTGTCCAATCCCAGAAACACACATGTACATAGATGTACACACCAGTCCACACCAGAAGTGGGAACATGTATTGTCATCTTGCTCTTGCCATTTGCCATGACTTTGAAGGAACTGCTTTCCTTGTCTGTGCCTCAGTTTATGTAACTTAGATATAAACATTCATATTCATCGTTTATGTCTGATGGGTAGATATAAGGGCTGATGGGTTAGAGTGGTGTGGGGAGAGCTTGCTCGACAGATGTTTTGGAACATGGTGGTAACTCCAGAACTTAGAAGGCCGGGGCAGGGCAAGCCAGTCTGACCTATACAGCAAGCCCTCATCTTAGAGTGAGGGGAGAGAGGGATAAACAACAAGAACCAGCCTTGTGTGAGAGGTCTTCAAGTTGGAGTACAACTGTATCTCCTCCCCTCATGCTGCTCAGAGGGAAACCAAGCTTCTGGGTTCTTCTCTTGTAGACCAGGCTGGTTTCGAACTCAAGATCTGCCTGCCTCTGCCTCCCAAGTGCTGGGATTAAAGGCGTGCACCACCACTGCCCGGCAAACCTCTGGGTTCTTCTCATCAGCACAGTTTCCTCAGTCCTGTTGTTCCTTGAAGGACCTGTTGTTCCTCAATGAAACTACATTACTTTCCAGGACTAAAGACTGTCTTTCTTCCTGCCCTCAGCTCTGGGCTCTGCTGCCCTTGGCGTCCACCTGTGGGGGGCAGGTGGGAGTAGGCTTTTCTAAGTGTCTCCTTCCTATTTGCTCCTCAGAGCATCGAGCCTCTGGACCCCAGCGAGAAGGCAAACAAAGTCTTGGCTAGAATCTTCAAAGAGACAGAGCTGAGGAAGCTTAAAGTGCTGGGCTCTGGTGTCTTTGGAACTGTCCACAAGGTGAATGACTCACGGAAGCCTGGAGAAGCGGGGAGAAGACGTCAGAAAAATGGGAGAAGGATTTTGGCAAAAGATTAACATGAAAAGAATGATTTTTTTTTTATGTCTACCCCAAACTTTTCAGGGGGTTTGGATCCCTGAGGGAGAATCCATCAAGATTCCAGTCTGCATTAAAGTCATCGAGGACAAGAGTGGGCGGCAGAGTTTTCAATCTGTGACTGATGTAAGTGAAGGAAGGCAAGCCCGAATGCCACTAAAAGAAAGGCAGTGCTGGATCCAGGCATGTAGACATACGATCTTGTGTTGGCAGGCAGTGTGTGAGATCCATGTTAGGCATGCTGTACTTGTATGTTAGAGGGATCTCTGGATTGGGTGGACTGGGTGTGCTTTTGTGGAGTGAACCTGGACCTGTTTCTTCCTGGCTAATACCTCCTACGTTTTGCAGCATATGCTGGCCATTGGTAGCCTAGACCATGCCCACATTGTGCGTCTCCTGGGACTATGCCCAGGATCGGCTCTGCAGCTTGTCACTCAGTACTTGCCTCTGGGCTCCCTCCTTGATTATGTGAGGCAGCACCGTGGAGCACTGGGGCCACAGCTGCTGCTCAACTGGGGAGTACAAATTGCCAAGGTGAGAGGAGACTGTGATAGCCGCCGCTGACTGGGGAAAGTCAGGGCCTGCCTGAGGTCTGAGGACACGGGGTTTGGGCAGCTTCTGTTGCTCAGTGACTGGCCGGCTCTTCCTCTAGGGTATGTATTACCTCGAGGAACACAGCATGGTGCACAGGGACCTCGCTCTCCGCAATGTGCTGCTCAAGTCACCCAGTCAGGTGCAGGTGGCAGATTTCGGTGTGGCTGACCTTTTGCCACCAGAAGACAAGCAGTTACTACACAGCGAGGCCAAGGTAAGGTGACAAGGGTGGGGATGTCCAGTAGGAGGAGCCTGGAGTACGGAGTAGTGGGGGCTCTTTCTGAGATATGTAGGTGAGCCGTGGTCAGTCTGAGGAGAGGGAACTGAGAATGGCAGAAAATGTTAAGTTCAGAAAACAAAGGATGGTAGAGAACTTGTGGTTTAAAGACAGTAAGGACATTTGTGAAAATTAACTGATAATACCTTTATCTTTCATCTTCAGACTCCAATTAAGTGGATGGCCCTTGAATGTATCCACTTTGGGAAATACACACACCAGAGTGATGTCTGGAGTTACGGTGCGCATACCTGGCTGCCCCCATGTCATCAGCCCAAGTCCCCCACTATCTTTTGTGTCTCCTCTTCTTAGGAACTCTCCACCTAACTAACTTTTGATCCTTGTATTAAAGCAGTCTACCTCCCCTTTACTATTTTTAAATAGCCTGTATCTATTTTTCATACTTTACTAGTTCACTTCTTTCTACATCAGGTGTTACAGTTTGGGAGTTGATGACTTTCGGGGCAGAGCCCTATGCGGGGCTGAGACTGGCTGAGATACCAGACCTGCTAGAGAAGGGAGAGCGGTTAGCACAGCCCCAGATCTGCACCATTGATGTCTACATGGTCATGGTCAAGTGTGAGTTGTTTGCTGACCCCTGCTTTTCTAGCTGACTGCCTTCCTTTCTCCTCCATGGCTGGCTCTCTTCTCTTCTGCACTAACCCCTCCATCTCATCCACAGGTTGGATGATTGATGAGAATATCCGCCCGACCTTTAAAGAACTAGCCAATGAGTTCACCAGGATGGCCCGTGACCCACCTCGGTATCTGGTCATAAAGGTGAGGAGGGGTTTGAGGGTGCCAAGTCATTTAGAGAGAAGACCTGGTTGGAACTAGAATCCACCTGATGGCTATCTGCTCCTGTAGAGGGAGAGTGGGCCTGGAATGCCTCCTGGGGCAGAACCCTCTGCCCTGACAAACAAAGAGCTGGAAGAAGTAGAGCTGGAGCCTGAGCTGGACCTGGACCTGGATCTGGAGGCCGAGGAGGACAACCTGGCGACCACACTGGGCTCTGCCCTCAGCTTACCGCTGGGAACGCTCACCCGGCCTCGTGGGGTAGGACATCTTCTTAGTGCAGAGGATTCTGCTCCATGAACCCTCCATGCTAAAAGAGTTCTTCCTTCATTTTAACCCTTTTCTTTCCTTTCTCATCCTAGAGCCAGAGTCTTTTAAGCCCCTCCTCTGGGTACATGCCCATGAACCAGAGTAATCTCGGGCAGGCTTGTCTGGTAAGTCGGCAGCTGGAGGCTGGGGTGGCAGAGAGTCTTAAGGGCTTGGAAGTGTTGATAGAGATATGGAGGGAAGACGCTTCAAATCTTGAAGGTTTAATCAACACCCTGCAATAGAGAAGGCCTTGGACAACCACGCCTCCTTCTAAATCAGTTTAACTCTCCTTGTATTGTTGCCTGTTATTTTCCTCCTTAGGATTCTGCAGTTCTGGGGGGTAGCGAACAGTGCCCCCGTCCCATCTCTCTGCATCCAATTCCACGGGGACGTCTGGCCTCAGAGTCATCAGAGGGCCATGTGACAGGCTCTGAGGCTGAATTCCAAGAGAAAGTGTCGGTGTGTAGAAGCCGGAGCCGGAGCCGGAGCCCTCGGCCACGTGGAGACAGCGCCTACCATTCACAGCGACACAGCCTGCTTACCCCTGTCACCCCGCTCTCTCCACCAGGATTAGAGGAAGAGGATGTCAATGGCTATGTCATGCCAGATACACACCTCAAAGGTACCTGGCTTTTTCTCCAAGCTCCCCTAGATTCTTTCATATTTTCTGATGTCTCCTAGTCATTTGTTTTGTAACTTACCCCATTCCTTGTTATTTCTCTGAAGTTCTATACATACTTGTAATTTTTCTCAACCGCAGGTACATCCTCCTCCCGGGAAGGTACTCTTTCTTCTTCGGTAGGTCTCAGCTCTGTGCTGGGTACTGAAGAAGAAGATGAGGACGAGGAGTATGAATACATGAACCGGAAGAGAAGGAGCAGCCCACCTCGGCCCCCTAGGCCTGGTTCCCTTGAAGAGCTGGGTTACGAGTACATGGATGTGGCCTCAGACCTCAGTGCTTCTCTGGGCAGCACGCAGAGTTGCCCACTCCATCCTGTGGCCATCGTGCCCTCTGCTGGCACAACTCCAGATGAGGACTATGAATATATGAACCGCAGGCGCGGTGTAGGTGGTGGCGGGGGCGATTATGCGGCCATGGGGGCCTGCCCTGCAGCTGAACAAGGGTATGAAGAGATGAGAGCTTTCCAGGGGCCTGGACATCATGCCCCCCATGTTCGATATGCCCGCCTCAAAACTCTGCGTAGTTTAGAAGCCACCGACTCTGCCTTTGACAACCCTGATTACTGGCATAGCAGGCTTTTTCCCAAGGCGAATGCCCAGAGAACTTAACCTCTGCTCCTTGAGACTCTCGGGGAGCATTTGTTGGCAGCTAGTGCCTCTTGAGGGTACCCCTTCCTCACCCCTCTCCCTCAAGTCCCATTTCTCCAGTCCTAGACAATGCCGTCCAGTCTTTGGAGACTTGTAAACATATCCTCACAAAATTTTTGTGGTATATAGCCAGATGTGCACTTTCTTCTCTTACTCCAACCCCAGGAGAAGAGAAGGTTTTCCTATTTGTCTACTTTCCCAGTCCCATCCCTCGGCTTCCTCAGGGAGACTCCCTGGAGAGATGAAGGATTACTCTCTAAGCCCCTTTCTCTCAGGCTCTTACTTGTTAGGATTGGACTTGGCCTTCGTTTCCCATCAGACTGTCCTAAGGAAGAAGAGATTTAGCAGAGCTGGAGGAAGAAAGTAAACTTTTGGCTCATGAGACTTTTTTTTTTTTTTTGAGACAGGGTTTCTCTGTGTATCTTTGGAGCCTGTCCTGGCACTTGTTCTGGAGACCAGGCTGGCCTCGAACTCACAGAGATCTGCCTGCCGCTGTCTCCCAAGTGCTGGGATTAAAGGCGTGTGCCACTAAAGCCGGCGCTCATGAGACTCTTAATCCCATGGAGAGACTGAGAAGCTTAAAACATGTGGAGTAAAGAAAGTTAGGTGTAGATACCAATAACTATGAATTGAACATTTACTATGAGCCAGGCATCATCAAACTGAACTCTGCCTGCATTATCTCAATTACAGTCTCCACAGCTTTGTGAGGTAGAGCTCATCACATTTCACCAATGCAAGAGTCCCCCTGAGTGTTCCAAGATAGCCAATACGTCCCTGAGTCTGTGGATAGTACTGAATCCTGTAGTGTTTGTTTGGTTTTTGTTTTTTTTTTTCGAGACAGGGTTTCTCTGTGTTGTCCTGGCTGACCTGGAACTTGATCTGTAGACCAGGCTGGCCTTGAGTTCAGAGATCCCCTCTGCCTCTGCTTCCTGAATGCTGGGACTAAAGACGTGCATCACTATCACCTAGCCTATAGGTTTTTTTTTTTTTAATATTTTAGTTGGTTTACAAAACTGAATGTTATAGCTTAGTGCCTTTTCCGTCTTACCTAAGAACTTATCATCCATTACGGCCGTCATTTTTTTAGTTTGAAGTGCCACAGCAAAAGTAGTATTTGTCTATCTTCATAATTTCATGGATTTGTTATTATAGATCTTACCATATGACCCCCCCCCCATATGAAGTCAAGAACTTTGACCTTTTTTCAAACAAATACTTCTCGGAATTGCCAGCATCACTACTCTTGCATTCTAGGCCCATTTGTAGGTAAAATAAGGGTATTTGAACACAAGTACTGTGATGTCACTGTTGGTCAGTCTAATAACAGGTGGGTCGTGAAGTGACTAAGGGTATTTGGTATGGATGCACTAGGCAAAGAGAGGATTCGTCTACCAGGTGGGACAGAAAAGGATGGTTGTAGTTTCATCATGCTATTCAGAATGGTGTGCAATTTAAACTTGAGGGACTATTTATTTCAGGAACTTGTCATTCAATATTTCAGATTGTAGTTGATCGTGGGTTATTAAAACTGTGGACAGCAAAACCTCAGATAGGGGACTGAGCCATGAAGAAATTAAGCAGCAGGTCTAGGATTCAAAATCTTCCCAATTCTAATGCCTGTACTTTTTACTATAAGGTATCAAGGAGTACCTGTGTCAAGCCCTTGTAAGGTGTGTGTGTGTGTGTGTGTGTGTGTGTGTGTGTGTGTGTGTGTGAGAGAGACAGAGACAGAGACAGAGACAGAGATAGAAACAGGGTCTCACTCTGCAGAGTGACCTGGAACTATGTAGCCCAGGAGGATGGCCTTGAACTCAACTCACAGCAATCCTGTCTCAGCCTCCCAAGTTGTGAACTGCCAGACTCCTTGTTTGTGCACAGAATCAAGCAAACGCCAAAGGGCCACATTTTCCTCCAGCACACAGGCTTCTCATCTCAGGAAGGAGTGAAGACAACACAGAAGGACAAATAACTGGACATTTTCATAGCCCACATATGTTGTGGATAATATACACTCCTTACAGTCAATTCACAAAGGTTCCAAGACTCATTTTAGGAATTATTCTTAACCAGTAATGAGAAACTTCTTGTGGGATAGAAAGAGGATCCATCTTCAGACCTCAGTCTTCCTGGATGGGAACTGAGGGAAAATGTCTTCTTGTACCATTAAAGTTTTTTTGTTTTGTTTTTATACATGTCTGAATAAAGATGCCAAGTTTCTTTTGGATTTTTATCAACTGAAGAGTGCATTGAGACCATCCCTTTTCTTTGCTTCTTAGCAATCAGTAGCTTCCTCTGCTCCTGACATTCCCAATTTTTTATTTAAATGTTTTTTTAATAATTCAACTTTATTGTGTTTGCATTGGTATGAAGGTGTCAGATCCTCTGAAACTGGAATTACAGATAGTGCGTGCTGTCAAGTGGTTGCTGGGAATTGATCCTGGGACCTTTGGAAGAGCAGCCAGTGCTCCTAACCTCTGAGCCATCTCTCCAGCTTTATTTAAATGTTAAGATCTTATTTATTTATTTATTTATTTATTTATTTATGGTTTATCGAGATAGGGTTTCTCTGTGTAGCTTTGGAGACCAGGCTGACCTCGAACTCACAGAGATCCGCCTGCCTCTGTCTCGTGAGTGCTGGGATTAAAGGCGTGTGCCACCAACGCTCGGTTTAAGAGTTTATTTTTAAACCTGGGTAGCCGGGCATTGGTGAACAAGAGCTAGTTCTAGGACAGTCTCCAAAGCCACAGGGAAACCGTCTCGAAAAACAAAAACGCAAAAAAGCATACAAACAAAAAAAATGGGTATATGAGGGAGTAGGGGCTGGCAATGGTGAGTGCAGTGCCCAAATTACAAGCTGCTTGGCATGGTGCTGCGAACTCCCTCCACAGGAATACCAGGTTATAAACGCTGAGCCTTTTCTCCAGACCCTGTTTCTACTCCTTTTTATTAACCCGTTTTACTGGGAATCGCTACAAAGTAGCAAGTGTAAACAAGAAAAGCCAAAGCGCTTGCTTGGGAAAAGAGAAAAACCCCAAATCTTGTTTGTTTTTTCCTACATAGGTTGAATACTGAAAGCCTGAAATAATTCAGAACTCATTCTCTTTGGAGTGACCAAATACCTCCTAAACATTTCCCTTAGATGCCCCCATCAAAACCTACCGCTGGAACAATAGTGCCATTTTACTCTAGTATAGTAGCAAGTCTGGCCTTATTAGCAGGCCACGGTAAATGAATAATCTTTCGGACTGTCTAGTTAAGTCTGTTCAGTTAGTCCCTCGCTCCCAGCACCGCCTCCGCTCGGCCCCTTCCTGTTCTCCCAGCAGAGGAGGACTGGACCAGCCAGGCCGGTCACGCTTGCCTACCCGGGAATCCGAAGCTGCCCGCCCTAGGTGTACCAACAGTGACCCTGGTCCTCTAGCTCCACCCTGCTCCACCCTGTTCCACCCTGTTCCGCGGCCTCTAAACCCTCTTCTCCGCTTAGCTCCGCCCCGCCTCGCTTAGCCCGCCCCCCTCTGTTACGAGTTCTGGCTCCGAGCTCCCGTGAATGAGGTTTTTCCCGTAGAGACCACGCTTTCCCTCAAGCTCCCCAACGGCTCCGCCTTCCCGCCGGAGCCAGACCCTTCCCAGCGTGCCCGGCGATTCCGGCGTGCGCAGACCTGGGAGGGCAAGGCCCCAGGGCCTGGCGGCGGGGCGCGAGGAGCAGGCTGGGAATTGTAGTTCCTGAGCACACGAGGGCGGCTGGAGGCTGGACGCCGGCCGGACTCATTGTCCCAGCGTGCCCTGCGCTTCAGCCCGCGCGCTCGCAGCTTCTCGCTCTCTGCGCCCGCCCTCCCGCTCCCTTGCTTGCTCGCGCTTTCCTCGCGGATCGAAGAGACTCTAGCTACAGCTTGTGGCTGGAAGGGAGACGGAGGCCGCAGCTCAGGGAAAGTGAAGCTGCAGTAGTGGTGGTAGGAAGATGTCGGGCGAAGACGAGCAGCAGGAGCAAACTATCGCCGAGGACCTGGTCGTGACCAAGTATAAGATGGGGGGCGACATCGCCAACCGTGAGTGCGGCCTCGGGGGTCTTGGAATCGAGGCTGAGAGGGAGAGGTTTGGGGCTGTCTCCCGAGGGGCTGGAGCGGCTGGGTCTTGCGGAGTGAGCCACCGAGGGGCGCGTGCCGACGACCAGGGGCGACGTGGTGGGGAGATCTGGTGTCGCCCCGGGGACTGAGCAGCCATGCCTGGGCTGGAGAGAGTGGAGGTGCGGGCCGGCGACCGCGAGGAGCGCAGAGAGGGGCCCAGACATGCTCCGACCCTAGGCGGTTGGTAAGGAGGCAAGGCGCGTCGTCTTCTGCCCGTCACCCTTCGGTCTGTCGGGATCTCTGCTTCCACTGACTGGCAGCTGTGAGGCTACCTCGGAAAGGGTGCTGCTCCCAGCTGTTGGCGACATAAGCGCCCCTCTGGCAGTCGCGGGTCCTGACCCGTAGGAGCCAGGCCGGCACGTGTTGCCAGGTCCCTGTGCGGATCGCTGGCTCCCCACTTCCTCTACTACCGTGCTTCCCCACCACGTGCTTCAGAAAAGTCTCAACTTCAGGTCCCCCTGGTGGGGGCCCCCTTCTCCCCTGGCCTAGCCCGAGGGACCGTTGAGGGGCACGTCTGCAGCTTCTAACACAACTCTTAAAGACAATCGGTTTTCTACACTAGGTTGATGACTGCTGCCCCAGCCTGTGAAATGGCCTTGAATATTTGTTTTTAGAGGCTTGACAGTGTTCTGAGGTCCTGCTTAGAACACAGCTAGGCAAGCCTGTCAATAATGCTGGGACGGGACGGAGAGGAACACTGATTTTTTTAGGGTTATTATAAGTATTTCTTGCTCTTTCTCAACAGTTGTCTGCCACTTGGGCTCTTTCCAGTTGTCTCTTCGTGTCAGTCCCGTCCCGTCCCATGCACCCCCTCCCGGGGGTGGGGGGGAATTTCTGTCCTACTCTTGTAGACCAGGCTGGCCTCAGATCCGTCTATCTCTTCTTCCCAAGTGCTGGAATTAAAGGCCTGTGCCACCAGACCACACCCGGCTCTCTTTTCCATTTTTTAAAAGCCTCTTAATAGAGATAGAAACTATTAGGACTTTAAAATGGTCTTGACAAAATTGAAGAAGGTATTTAGGATGCCTTTAGTTAAAACCGAGTTGTTTTTTTTTTTTTTTTTTTTTTTTGTATTCCAAAGAATAACCAAAACACTATTAAGCCTTGAATCCCCATGGATCATAGAGAGGACGGATACAAAATAATATCCCTATCTGGGGTAGTTTTAGTATTTGATATTATTGGTTTAAATCAGACAAAATTTCTATCCGTACTATTTGAAGCTTTAGGCAATTTGACTTTAGATAATAATTTTGAAACTGATCACGTTTCCTTGAGATCTCAAAGTAAACCTTGAGTCTCCTGAATCTTTGAGACCTTAGATTAATTCCCCTGGTCTTATATGCTTGTATATGGGGAAATGCATCTACATAAATTGTGATTACTAACACCTAATTAGAGTGTCTAGGGAAGGGAAGAAGGTAGCATTTAACAATGCTTCAACTTTGACTCAGCAATTCTATGTGTACCTTCCCTTGTCCCTGACGCCTATAAATTTCTTCTGCTCTGCTTGTGCATATGGGGTGTCTTGAGCACAGTTCCCTAACGTTCATGATTCTGTATGCCATAACATCTTTGGTAGGTGCAAGACTCTCGTCTATCCAGGTGTCAAATAATTTACAGAAGAGAAGTAAGCGCTGGCCTTTTTTATTTTAGGAAAGGAAGGTAGAAAGGAAGACTGGGCGTGATAGTGCCTGGTGCCAGCACTTGTCGGGGAGACACAGGCAGGCCATCTCTTGAGTTCCTGTCCAGCCTGGTGTACATAGTTCTAGGAAAGCCAGGGGTGTGTCTCAAAAAAGCAAAATAAACAACAACAAAAAAAGGTAGACATTAAAGTGGATAGATTGTACCAGGACACAAAATTTGTTTCCTTTCCACTTCCTGCCTTAAGACAATGACACTAGGGAGTATTAGAAAATGAATTCAACTTCACATCTAATTAGATGATGAATGCAAGCAGGACTGACCTGATGGGATTCTGTCTCCAGGGGTACTCCGATCTTTGGTGGAAGCCTCCAGCTCAGGTGTATCAGTGCTGAGCCTGTGTGAGAAAGGCGATGCCATGATAATGGAAGAGACAGGGAAAATCTTCAAGAAGGAAAAGGAAATGAAGAAAGGTAAACGGGAAAGAATACTCTTCTTAATTTCTCCCATTTGACCGTATCCATCTAGCCCCGCCCCCCCCCATTGTAAAGTCCACGCCATCTCTGATTAACATATTTGGAAATCTGGAGTAGCAAATGGGATGGGTGTAGTTTCCTCTCCTGATCTACACTGAGTAAGTTTAAGGAAGGCAGCGGGTGCTGCCAAGGCAGAGCCAGGCAGTAAGGTTGATGGTTCTTTTTACAGGTGTTGCCTTCCCTACCAGCATTTCCGTAAATAACTGTGTGTGTCACTTCTCCCCTTTGAAGAGTGACCAGGACTATATACTCAAGGAAGGTGACTTGGTAAAAATGTAAGGTTAAGCCATTCTGGAGTATTTGTCATTTTCCTACACATTTAAGCAGGGTCGGTTCCTAATGAAGTGTTCTATCCTTGCCTTTCAGTGACCTTGGGGTCCATGTGGATGGCTTCATTGCTAATGTGGCTCACACTTTTGTAATTGGTGTGGCTCAGGTGGGTAGCATGCCTTTTCAGTGTTGGTAAGGGGATATGCTCCACTCTGTCGTACCACATAATCTTAAGAGTATCCAGAGAAGCAAAAAGAAACCACTTTCTGGTGTGTTGTGTGATTGGCTGGCCTCGAATATGAACATAGTGAGCTTTGCAGTGATACTAGTTATATTTCTCCACAGGGGACCCAGGTAACAGGCCGGAAAGCAGATGTCATTAAGGCAGCTCATCTTTGTGCCGAAGCTGCCTTACGACTGGTCAAACCCGGAAACCAGGTAAGGTGCTTCCTTCCTGTTGCAAAGATGAATCAGGCACCCTGAAAACAGCAAATAACTAAGTATCTACCACAGTACATGCAAGGTGTAGGGAATGTGACTTCTTACCGTGGAGCCTATAAAGGCCATTTTTAGATTTTGTATGTGCACTTTCACCCCAAAATAATTTGGGGTAGGTAATGAACAATGAAACACGTTTCTTAAAACTGTGCATGAAAAGGATAGAAAAAGTGCTGGCAAATTCGTGCCTAACAAACAAATTCTTTTGTTGTTTGGAGGGGGGAGCGTATCAGGAAGCCCAGATAGGATAGAGTTCT